AAATATAATCTTGACCCAGGGAGAAACTGGAACTGTGAATCCTTCAGGAGCCGAGGCAATAGTCTCTTACTTACTGTATTTTGTCTCTGCTCCTTTCAGCATATCTGATTTCTCCTGCTCCCCCTCCTCCTCCTTTCCTCTCTCTTTCTTTCTCTCTCTCTCTCTGTTTCCACCCCCACCCATTAGGCCTTCTCTGCTTTCCGTTCACATAGAGAAATATAGACCTACCACCACTCCTGTCTTTAGATATCACACTTGTTCAACTCATTTGTAGAGAAGAACTCGTCATCCCTGAATCTATTTCTTTTTCTTTTTTTTTTTTTTTCCTTTTTTTGTCTTTTTTCATGAACGGCAACGGATCACAACCCTCAGTGTTGTGCCCGCACCTCGCTCAGCCAGTGAGCGGCCGGNGGGCTGGGCTGGGGGTCACTCACAAAGCTCCCAGAGCTGGGCTGGTCCCGCGCCTTCCTCTTCTTCTCTGCATCGCCACTGCCGTCTTTCCTGGCCTTTGTTGCCTTGGGCTGCTCAGTCTCCCGGCGTGGTTGTGGCGCTCTCAGGAATCTTCTTTTGCATTGGCCCTAAGACCTCGAGACTGTAGTTGCTTTTTTTCATTGTAGATTAGTTGATCAGTGATTTATTTGTTTTTTGTTGCTCTTGGAAATGCAAATAGTACTCTGGCAGCACAGCTCACACTTCTCAGGCTCGCTCTGTCCTCTGGCACACTCGCTCCAGACCTGTCGCCATCTTGCTCCTCAGAGTTGATACATTCTAAATTTTAATTATAATCATTAAACTTTAAAAATAAAAATTTTTATGAACTTCTAATTATAAGTTACAGATGGTCAAGTTTTTAAGTTTTTGCCTTTATGATGATGTGAAAGTGATTTGAGTACCCATTTAATCATTTTATTTTTCAGTTTCAGTATAGTATTCAATAAATTACATGAGATATTTAACACTTTATTATAAAATAGGCTTTGTGTTAGAAGATTTTGCCCAACTGTAGGCTAATGTAAGAGTTTTGAGAACATTTGAGGTAGGCTAGGCTAAGCTATGATGTTCAGTGGGTTAGGTTTATTTAATGCATTTTCAACTTAACAACATTTCCATCTTACAGTGGGTTTATCAGGACGTGACCCCATCGTAGGTCGAGGAGCATTACTTTATTATAAAATAGGCTTTGTGTTAGAAGATTTTGCCCAACTGTAGGCTAATGTAAGAGTTTTGAGCACATTTGAGGTAGGCTAGGCTAAGCTATGATGTTCAGTGGGTTAGGTTTATTTAATGCATTTTCAACTTACAACATTTCCATCTTACAGTGGGTTTATCAGGACGTGACCCCATCGTAGGTCGAGGAGCATCTGTATAATGAATTATGTCAAATGCTTTGGTTTGTCTTTACTGTTACTTATCTCTAATTGGAGCTGGGGGTTTAGGACATTGCTGCTTGTTGCTTTAAAAGTCAGGTGGAAAATGAAGTACATACTAATGTCCTTTTTTTTTTACTGTTACTTATCTCTAGTTGGAGCTGGGGGTTTAGGGCATTGCTGCTTGTTGCTTTAAAAGTCAGGTGGAAAATGAAGTACATACTAATGTCCTTTTTTATAAAGAACAGATTATATTTTTTGATCTCTTTATGAGCAGGAAAACACATAGAGTGAATGTTATATCTTATTATTTAGACATAAGATGATTTTGTTCAGCAGAAGATACATCTGAATTATTTTCAGTCATTAGGAAAATGGAAAGCAACTTACTAAAAATAAAAGTCATGTCAAGATGGTGTAAATAATCTTTAATAAGCATAGATATTAAATCAAGACCTATAATATTTCAATGATTATAATATAAAGTTACAGATTTGATAACTAATTATTTGTTATAATTAATTTAATTATAATTAAATTATTACAATTGTAAGAAATAAAATAGTTTAATTTTCATATATCTACTTTTTAATCCATTTATTTAATGAAAATTTATCAAGCCGCTAATTTGAGCAGACACTGTGCATGGCACTGGGGAAACAAAGATACATTATATACAGTATCTGCCCTCATGAGATATCCCTGTTAATGAAACTAATTCATTATCCCTGTACCGGGCAGCCACCAAAAAAAAAGAACAAAAACTAATGCATTAATGTTTGTATATAAAAAGAAAAAGGAAAAAAAGGCTTTCTTTGTATAAAAATGTTTCAATGATTTACAGCTAAGACAGTCCAGAGGTATTAAAAAAGATATAAAAGCTTACTAGATGGAGAAGTAATAATCATGGAAACTAAAACTCCTCATAGGATATTTTTCCTTTTCCTTTTATAGGAGCCTAAAAGGGGATCGAGTTATGCCAGAGGAAATAGCTCGCTACTATAAACATTATGTAAAAGTCATGGGTCTTCAGAAGAATTTCAGAGAAAATACTTACATAACCTCTGTATCAAGACTTTATAGAGATCAAGATGATGATGATAGTCAAGACGGAGATATTTCAACAAAGCATTTACAGATAGAGAAGTCAAAATTTATCAAGAGAAACTGGGAAATCAGGGGTTATCAGCGAATAGCAGATGGTTCTCATGTTCCCTTCTGTCTCTTTGCTGAGAATGTAGCTCTGGCAACTGGAACATTGGATTCTCCTGCACATCTGGAAGTTGAAGGGGAAGATTTTCCATTTGTGTTTCATTCAATGCCTGAATTTGGAGCTACTATAAGTAAAGGAAAGTTGCGTGGCAAAGTGGATCCAGTGTTAATTGTAGGTTCTGGGCTTACTGCAGCTGATGCAGTACTATGTGCTTACAATAATAATATCCCTGTGATTCATGTATTTCGCAGAAGAGTAACTGATCCAAGCTTAATTTTCAAACAGCTTCCCAAAAAGCTTTATCCTGAATATCATAAAGTCTATCATATGATGTGTACTCAGTCATATTCTGTAGACTCAAATCTTTTATCTGATTATACCAGTTTTCCTGAGCACCATGTGCTTTCCTTTAAGTCGGACATGAAATGCATTCTTCAAAGTGTCTCTGGATTGAAGAAAATATTTAAGCTCTCTGCAGCAGTAGTATTGATAGGTTCTCATCCTAATCTATCTTTTCTGAAGGAACAAGGGTGTTATCTAGGCCATAACTCAAACCAGCCAATTACATGTAAGGGTAATCCTGTGGAAATAGATGCATATACCTATGAGTGTGTTAAAGAAACCAGCCTTTTTGCATTGGGTCCTTTGGTTGGAGACAATTTTGTTAGATTTTTGAAGGGAGGAGCACTGGGTGTTACACACTGTTTAGCTACAAGACAGAAGAAAAAGCAGCATTTGTTTGTTGAACAAGGAGGAGGAGATGGGATAGCTTAAAGCAAGTTTACAGGTAATTTAAATGGACAGTTTACCATTAAAGATTTTTAATAGTGATTTTGCAGTGCACTGGCTTGAATTTTCTGGACTTGAATTAACTGGAGCAGAGCCTCAAGCTATAGTAACTTCATTTTTTTAAAGTTACCAGAACTTGGTGTCCTCATTTATATTTTAATGTATCAAAGGTATCACTGTCAGACAAATAGAAACATTGACAGCTAGGTATACTTTAAGCTTTCACTTAACTGAAACATTCTTTTCTTCCAGGATTAAATTTTTGTGATCATTTTTGGTTATATCTTAAGTTTGATTCCGAAATATTATAGCTTTGAGTCTATAAAACTGCACAGTCATTATGCCAGAAATTGTCCTCACTATATAATGGGTTACCTTGCTACTCAAAGGATGGTCCAGTGACCAGAAGCATCAGTTTCATCTGTAGCTTGTTAGAAATGTAGACTTTCAGGCCCCACAACATATTTACTGAACCAGAAACTGCATTTTAACAAGATCCCCAATGAATATGTATGCTTGTTGAAGTTTGAGATACACTGGTCTGAATGAAAAGGGGATATAAGGTATGTGTGCTGGGGTTGGGGTGGGGGTAAGGAGGCATTTACAACTCAGGTTTTATTTATTATAAAGTCATCAGTTGTATAAATCTAATTTATTACCAAATATGATGGTCTTTAAAAAAATATTTTTATTGTTGAAACCTTGACAGGAATGTCAAATTATTAACTTCTAATAATTTAAGCAGTCCAATAATGTTAGTATATACTTGGGCGTCTAAGAACCTGCCAAGATATTTTCCAGAGATTTATTCTCTATTTAACCACGCAATTCAATAAACTGTGGATGGAACTATTTATTTGCGTGTGAACATTGACTTAATTTCTATCACTGAAACTAAGATGTGGGCATGATATAAGTACTTCTGAAATTGTAATATTGTTTGGGTATTGTCAGAATTATTAAAGGTTAAAATTGAAAATAAGGTTAAAATCTTTCTTTTTCATTTCCAAGGTGATTATTACTTTGAGATCTTTAATAGTATTTGTTCATTAGAGATGACATAGCAGCTAATACCATAGTTATTTATTGGATTTATCTGCTCTAATTATCTTGATTTACATTATTTAGGTGTACTTAATGTCTGTATTTTCACACAAATGGCCAGAATTTTTAGTGTTAGGTAAAAAAAATCTTCTGGAGTTCTCTGTGGCAAATTGAATTTCGAATTTCACAGTCATTTTCTCTTTTTGGTATAATTATTTCATCTGGAATGTGTTCATTGAACCTCTATTCTATTTTTCTTAGAATTAACAAAAGTGGGCTAATGCGTTAGTATTTTTTGTTTGTTTTATTGCAATATTATGTGCTTAGTTTACTAGGATCATAATTTACCTTAAATATAACTGTCTAGAATATATTTGCTTCTGCTAGCTAATTGCTTCAGATGAGTTCTTAGACTCTTGATAACTGTCATGCCTGATTAAGTTTAATTTGATTTTTATAAACTATGCAATCCAGGTTTAGTTTCCTATTATGACGATAACTTTTTCCAAAATAATATTACACGTTAATGAAATGGTATAACATCCTCTAACTGTACTTTATTCAGTATTCTCTTGCTTGCCTGTTTTTGATCTCTGAATGAGTTGGATTGGATGTTTTTCTTAATGTCACTAAATTAAAAATGACAGTATTATAAAGGTTTCTGGCATGGATAAGTACTATTGTGACATCCCCTTGTGTCTCAAAAGTCTCCTCTTACTCAAGCTTAAGCAAGAGCATTTTTGTGATGAGAGTATGCACTTAAAAACAAACAAAAAAAGAATTTGGGGAAAATAAAGCTTCAGTAGTGCCCTAAATAAACCTGGTGTAGGTAATTTCATCTTTGGTAACCTCCCATTTCCCAAGTTTCCCTCAATCCTAGCTGTCCTGTGCAGTGTTATGACATTCAAGCCTTTCTCTGATGTACTATTCCTGTATTCTTTATCAGTTTCTGTCTCATAATTCCAAATCTTTCCTTGTTCTTCAGTATCAACTAACTATTCAGGGGAGGGAAAATCAGTAAATACTTGGCTAGTCATAGCATGTTGTTAGCATATCCTCCTTTTCCCTCCAGGTCTAGCTCGGTATCTGGCAAACAGTCCATATTTAACAATTGTTGAAAGAATGTTTACAAGCCAGAATCTGTTTAGGGTTTTGAGAAACAGTGATACAGTAAAAATAAGATTTAGATACAGTTTTCAGTGTTTTAGGCAACCTGAATATGTGAACCTCATCCAACTTTACTTTTTCAAAAATCTAAGAAGTTTTATCACAATGTTTCCATGGCATTAAATTTTAGTTAACAGATTTTAAAATATCAAAGTGAAAGGTATTTTAAGATATTACATAGTCAATAGAAAGTGGGAAAAAATGTAAATAAATACTGCTATTAAATAAAAACAAGTTCCATTAAGTTCCAGCCTCTAGAACACTGAGGTACCCAGAATGAAACAAAATTAGACTGAATTGAAATGTCATTTTAAAATCTAAGTTGGTTACAAGGGCTGCTTGTTGCATAAGGCCTTTTTTTTTTTTTTTTTTGGCTTAGAAAATAATATAATTTCTTTTTATAGAAACGTAGTTGATTATACATATTTGTGGAGTACAGAGTTGAATATCAATACCTGTGTACGATATGTGATGATCAAATCAGAATAGCTGGCATATCCGTCAGTACAGAATGTATTCATTCTTTGTGTCCATTAACCAATTTTTCCCTAGCCTCCTCCCTCTTTAACCTTTCCATATACCTGAAATCTTTTATATTTTTAAAATTATAGAACTTTACATCAACCTCCCTTCCCCTCCCCCTTTCCCACCTCTGATAACCACAGTTCTGTTCTCTCCTTTTGAAAGTTCAATGTATGATTGTGATTCTTCTTTCCTTCTTTCCTTCCCTCCCTCCCTCCCTCTCTCCCT